ATCAAACACGGTAAATATTAATTAATCAGACGAATTTTGTTATTTATTGATATTTACTCGCCTAAGCTTATTTTGCTTAGGTCAAACTATAGATGTAAGGCATTAAAGAAAGAATGAAGGCACTTGTGCAACACACTGAATTCTCCCGTGACACACAGAAATAAAACAGGCCATAACTTTGATAAAAAAACGTCACCGTAATAAGAAATGCACATGCATTCGTACGAGGAAAATATTTAGAAGGGATACTAATAAACGTTTTCTCTCCTTTCGCGATTTTATTTCGCTCGCCCAGTTTTTTTAGTTTCTTCGACAGATTCTCTTAGTTTTCTCTCCTTATTCAATTTTTTTCGTACACCCACTTTCTTGCGCCATCTATACACATACGTCAACCATACGTTTTTTTAACATCACCAACCTTCATAAAGCCCATAGTTAAAGAATCTAAGATCCGCGTACTTGTAGCCGATGTAACGTAAGTCTTTCAGTCTCGCATCAAACATCTCCCGATAAACATGCGGACACTACCAGACAGAAACAAAAATGTCAACTAGATACACGCATACATATTATCAATCAAATCCTGCAAAACCAACACAGACATACCCACGCCAACATTTCACTGCCATCTTCAGAAATTATATACCCGGATAATACCAGACCGTCGCAAAAATGTTCACTCGAATTCAAACATGAACACGCACTCCCCACACAAAGGTGCAAGTGATAAGGTTGAAAGTGAAAGAAGAGAAGACGAAGGAGTAGTTGTTTGCTGGAGGCCAGTTGCCGTCAGTAGAAAGAGAATTGATCATTTTTAGTGAAGGAAGATTTCATCAAATCCAATTGAATCTCATTTGAATGTTTTATTTTCTAATTTTAGTGGCTTCTGTTGCTGGCAAATTTGCCGTGCACGAATGCTTATGTGAGAATATCTTTTCAGGAACAACTTATATATATATATATATATATATATATATATATATATATATATATATATATATATATATATATATAATGTACATATCTCTTGGGGGATTTCAAAGAATAGATAGATAGATATGAACAGACTGAGATAGATATGAAAATAGTGTGATTGACAGATTGATATGGACAGGCCAAGAAAGATAGATCGATTGGTAGAAAGATAGATTGATATACAGATAAATAGATAGATGTATATGAAGAGACTGTAATAGATAGACAGGGATATCTATCTATCTATCTATCTATCTATCTATCTATCTATCTCTCTCTCTCTCTCTCTCTCTCTATATATATATATATATATATATATATATATATATATATATATATGGAATGACTTAAAAAATACAGCATTCATAAAACCCATACTTAAAGAATCTAAGATCTACAAACCTATCTATATCTACTGATATAACCTAAATCTTTCACTCTCATATCAAATATCACCCCCACCGACAAAACTAGAAACATGATACAAAAACACGTGAACATTTCACTATCATCTTTCGATCATCTTCAAGAATCATACATGGATGCTACTAGACCGAACAAAAATGTCCTCTAGAATCCAAATGTACACATGCACAGATACCCGTTAATACGACACAATCATATGAAATCTACGTGAACATTGAAATACAAATCAACATAAAAGTAGATGGACTGGAAAATTCTCTTCCATAATTCATTTTGCCAAAGTTTCTGATGAAGCTGAAATAAAAGCGAAACATGTTAAAATTATAAACGTTTTTTCTCTTTGTTCGTTATCCTATCATTCTGTCGGCTTCGAATCCACATTCGATCCCTATCCTATCATTCTGTCGGCTTTGATTTCATATTTGATCCCAGCTCATATGAAAGTATGCATAATAGCAGTGGTATTGTAAGCAGATGAATTGTAAATGCAAGAAAGATGAAGAATTAGATAAAAGGCGAGAGAGAAATGAAGAAAAGCGTGCAAGGTTGAAAGTGAAATAAGAGAAGACGAAGGAATAAAGGTCTTGATTTGTTTGGTGTCAGTACAGTTGCTGTCAGTACAATTTTTTAAAAATAATAATGATTAGTGATATAAATCTTACAAAGTAACCCATAGCTAGGAGAAGAGGTATATTCATAACTTTCCAAGGATATTTGAGCGTAAGGGAATATAATCAATCCAACTAAAATTAGAACACGTCTGTCCGGGTAAAAATTCCTGACTATTATCCATTACATTACCTGCACATCCACGCTTACAGAACCTGGTAAGCTGAAGTGGTCACCCATCTTGGTACTGACAAGGCTCGACTATGCTTAACTTCCATGATTGTACGGGAACCAGCATTTCAACATAATATGGCCATAAGCAGAGTATAAAGCGAATTGATGAATATATTTGCATACTTTTGATATATATATATATGGTTGGATAGATGTGTGTTTGTGACCCTGGGTTTCACGCTTTAGCGATCGTCAGACAAACTGATTAATGTTTTAAAAAATTTGGGTTTATGTAGTTTTTTTAAAAACATTAATCAGTTTGTCTGACGATCGCTAAAGCGTGAAACCCAGGGTCACAAACTCACATCTATCCAACCAAATATGTTAGCTCTATCTCTGATATTGAGCGCTTTCTAATAAGTACCGCGTATATAATATATAAATAATTATACATATATATATTTGTTTATATACACTTTTCGCACACGCACGCACACACACACACACACACACACACACACACACATATATATATATATATATATATATATATATATATATGAACCTCTTATTCCTATTTAGCCTATTGTTGTGCTTTTTGTACAGGTTTTTGCATATCTCATTTGAATATTTTGGGGTATATTTTGAAATATCTTTTTAATACTCAAGATCCTATATCGCCCACCAGCATTTCCAATCGGCCACAATCTTTTGTTCAGTTGCCTATCGCCTGTCCAACATTAGAAATCTCCTGCTGGTGGGTGATATAGCCCTGACTGGGAAACCCTGTTATAAGGCGTAATTAAGTATTTATCAACCACGCTTTCCCCAGTTTTGTCGTCTATTCTTTAGGGAGGTGACTCGCTGTTTCCCTCGACGCCTCTTGCCTTCAATGTAGCCTTGAGCGTTCAATTTTCAATGACATCTTTATTCCTTCTTCAATGTTTCTTTATGTCTATCCTTCCTTCCTTCCTTCATTCCTTCCTTATACGATCCTTCCGTTATGCATTCCATCTTTCCTTCCATTCTTATCCTTCCCTTTTTCTTTCTCCACCCACCTTTACCATTCCTTCATTTCTTTTTCCTTCCTTCTTTCTTTTCTTGATGAAAAAGTGATCAAAGATTGTCTAGCGCCAATATTTTTACGATTTTTTTTTAAAAAACCGAGTTTGAACACCGTCTAAGTGTGCCACTGAGAGGTAAGAAATGATGTCAAACACAACAGTGTCCCTTCAAGATATAGGCGATTATGGCTCTCCACAGTTTCCTGTCCTTTCTATTTCTTAATAAATCTTGTCACGCCCCGCTATCTATTTAGTCAAACTCATTCTTCTTCTGTGTAACGTGTCCCTTCAGGACGTTGGCGATCATGACTCTCCACAATTTCCTCCGCTTTGTAGTTCTTTATAAAGTTTATCTTTTTGTTATCTCTCCTAAACCTTGTTCCACAATTCATTTACTCAAGCTCACATTTCTATATGACGTGTCTCGTCAGGAAGTAGGCAGTCATGGCTCTCCACAATTTCCTGTACTTTGTAGTTCTTAATAAATATTATCTTTTCGTTATTTCTCCTAAACTTTGTTCCGCTATCCATTTACTCAAACTCATTCTTCTTATATGTGACGTGTCCCTTCAGGACGTTGCCGATTATGGATCTCCACAATTTCTTGTCCTTTGTAGTTCTTAATAAATGTTGACATTTTACTCTCGCTTCTAAACTCATCTCATTTATTCTCTCAAGCTTTTCTCTGGCCTTCTTATCTACAATCTGCCCTGGGCGTATCAAATTTTCTGTAGCTTCTTTCCTCTTTAAGCCTTAGAAATTTCAAGTTTCTTTTCTTTTGGTAAGCATTAGTGTCCTTTTTTTGTTGCCATTGTTTCTAGTGTTTCGTCGTTGTTCAAATGTTCGATCCATGGTATTCTCAGCCTCCTTCTGTAGAACCACTTTTCTGTTGCTTCAAGTCTCTTCTTCATCTCTGCAAAGATTTTGCAGCATTCACTGTCATATAGGAAAACTGTTAAAAATTCACGGTGTCTGCCAGATAAGCTCAAAGTTCATTTTAGTTTGGTCCGCATTCCTAATGTTTGGTTATCCCTGCCCCATGGTGACCCGTCGTCTGATCAAAAAGTGGCGAGACTCAAACCAGTTGTATTCGAATATCAGCAGGAAATTGAGTGTCAAATGAATAAAATGAATTAAATCTTTTCTTTGTATCTAACAATATTTTTCTGTTTCATATTATTTTGATTAGCTTTGGGAAAACATCTTTCTCTATCGCAGTACGCCTTCAGTGTCATATTTTCCGTTCAATCCTTTTCTTAATTATATTCTCATTATTTCTTTCTTTACTTACTCTTATCATCATTTTCTGACTTCTTTCTTTCTTTCTTTCTTTCTTTCTTTCTTTCTGCTTATTCTTTTTTGTTTCTTTCCTTTTCACCTTGATTCTTTCATTCCATCCATTCTCGCTTTCCTTCTTTCATTCCATGATCTCTTTTTCCTTTTTTTATTAGTTCCTTCGTTCTATCTTTCCTTCATTTCTTCTTTACTACCTTCTTTTCATTCTTCTTCATTTCATTTAGTGACATATTCTTCCTTCCTTCCTTCCTTCCTTCCTTCCTCTTTTGCTTTCCTTTTTTCTTTCTTTTCTGCCATCGTTTCTACTTCTTTCTTTCTTTCTTTCTTTCTTTCTTTCTTTCTTTCTTTCTTTCTTTCTTTCTTTCTGTCGTCCGTCCTGTCTTCGTTAATCCCTCTCTTTCTTTTGTTCGTTCATTTCCGTTTCTGTTTTTCTATCTCCCTTATTCATAAATTTCA